AAAATAATAAGGGGAATTTCAAGACATCTTTTACAGTAGAGTATAATTCATTTTTGTGCATATTTTATAAATTAATATAAAAAATTTGTATCTTAATTTTTTTTTAACTAAAATAAATTATAATAAAATAATTTAATAAGGTCATCCACTAAAATAGACTTAACGATCCTAAATTTTTTTATTAAATCTGAATAAATGGCTTATCATAAAATCATTTTTTATTTGCAATGGTTAGGTCATTTCTTTTTAATTAAATTAAATTATTAGCCTGATTGCAAATATTTCTAACATGCAAGAGGATAGATTAAAACAATAATCGATAATTAATCTAATTAAAATCCTAAAATAAGATACATAAAATGACCATGAATATTTAATGATAATTATTAAAATTATTTTTTTAAAGATATTTTAGTTTCTATGATAAAAAATATTAGAATACAACAAATTATCATTTTTCATTTCTCTTTAAAGCAAAATTATAAATAAAAGTTAATAAAAAGACGATAACTATGCCTTTCATTAACAATATCCAAATTGAACTATTAGGTGAATGTTATCTTTATAGTTGTTAGAGATTTAAACTACCTATACATTCAGACTTGTAGGCCCATTGTGGGCTATATTATCATCTTAAATTATAAATGATTTCTGTATGTCAGAACATAACAAGTTCAAAAGGATACGTATGAATCGTCTTTCCCATTTCTCCAATAAATACAGTTCAGAAACTAACAAATAGCGCATATACCAATAAGATAAAAAATCAATCAAATTATACATATTTTAGTCAATAAATTATACAAAATCTTCTATAAAATACTATTTTTTTAAAATTAATTAAAAGTTCAATTGAATCTATCAAAAAAATTCTTTACTAACACTTAACTATACTATTCTAGTTAATAATACATCACTTACGGCCACAAAAAAATATTTACCTTACAATTATTCATTAATTCATTTGTCCACCTCTCATTTATTATATGAGTTCCGTTGCTATGAACAACGGAATAACGACATTCAATTGGCTTCTTTTTTATGAGGACAAATAACAATAGAAAAGTTACATCAGTTAACAATAGTTATATTTAAAAAAAATTATAAATTATACAGCCCTTGAACACAAAATAGTAAAATATTAAAATCTTTGGTAAATCACGTAATGTGCTCATTTTAATACAACACAAATTACAATAGATATAAATAATCTGTCATTGGTCAAATGATAAAATAAACAAAGGATAAAAAAATAGTATCATCAGAGCAGAGTATAGTCTTTGGTATTACAGAACAATTTACAATAAACAATTAAAGATATTAATCGTTCTCTAAAATAAATGAATACCTAAATATAAAATATATATATTAAAAAAAGGATTTTACGAATTATTATAAACAAATGTATTGTTATTATTTTATTTGAAGTTTCTTTTAGCTCTTATAATTCATAAGAATTTATAATTCCTTGTAATTATTGTTTCTATTGTTCATATTTAACAATTATAACTATTGTTTATTTATTTAAAAAGTCTAAATAAATCATTATATGTAAGAAAAATATATAAAAAATATTTGCACTTTTCAGTTTGCTCGTAATAAAATAACTGTTATTTTTAAAATCTCCACGAGTTAAAAATTGACCTGTTGATGAAACAATACATTTTTACATTTTTTCATTCTTACAAAATCTTCCTAATGGCAAAAACATTTATTGCGTTGTAGAAGAAAGACCTTTTGATTACGATTGCTGGAATTATTATTTTGGTATAACAATTATATCTAACAAATGATAAATGTCTATTATTGGCTTATTATACCTTATTAAAAAAGGCTTTAATACAATTCTCTTCATAACTTAATTTTTATCTACAGATCAAGACAGAACTATGCAATTTTTATTTACTAAATTGAGTTTGGTTATATTTAGGCTTTAAGGAATTAAACCATCTTATTACGCCGATACTAAAATAATATTTCCTCTGAAATAGAAATTCAATACAATATTGGAAAAAAAAATTTGATTTCTTTTAGTTTCTTATATTTCTTAATTTATCAATTTATAATTGCTTCATAGGATCATCCCTTATAACTTAAAGCGCTGTCAACTTAATTTTTTTAAATAGCAACATACATAATTAACTAGCATTAAGGAAGTTTAACATATTTGTAGCATAACTAACTAGCATTTCTTTTATTAGTTAAAGCAGTTTTTTGTTGATTTAACAAAATATTTGTTTATTTGATCAATTTTTTATTTTTAAAATAAAAGGTTTATGAATGTACTTTGATAATGTATTATAAATTTTGATAAGTGGGAAGGGTATCACACAGTCATATTTTTTAGAGGATACTACAAAAATATAATTATTACAAAAATACCGCACAATTAAAATAAAATTATTCAATCGGCAAAAATAAATATTTTATCCATCCCATACTTTTAACTACAGAACGGCCTTGCTTGTACTTGTATACAAGTACAATACCTACACAAGGCGCATTGTAGGGTTAAACATTAATGATTTTTTACCAATACAATATTTATCGTATATTTACCAATATACGATAAGATGGGATGAGATGATAATTTAGTATTTCTCGAAATAAATCGTAGAAGCTTAATTTTGCCATTTTACCTCATTTTACTATAATTTATTTATTTCTGTACATTGATTTAAACAAATTGTATGTAATTATTAGAATTTTAAGTAAAAATATATTTAAACTTAAATTGTTTTTCTGGACTCTCCTTCACGAATTAAGTTAAAATTGGTTTCAATGGGAAATTATTTTGCATTAAAGGATTAAAATAGTATATTAGTGCTGACATCTACTGGTTGTTATTGACACAATTTATGTTTTAAACTTAAAATCATAGAGTTACTATATCTCTATGGTTGAAAGGCACTCCCCGTGATATCGAAACCTAAATATTTTTTCGTTGATTTCTCTGTAAAAATTTCATTCGGTTAATGTCGTTTCGTTTTATCACTAATTTACAACAATATTATAAATATGGAGATGTTTGCGAATCCCTTTTGTATGTGAAAATATTGAGTTACTTGGTTAATAACTGTAAATAGGTGTTTAAATCTGTTCGAATTATTTTTACTGTCATTAAAATATTGGTGATTTAGAATTATGGTAATTTATAATACAAATACTGTACAATAGTAGTTGCCTATCCGTTTTACATAGAATTATGAAACAAATTAGTAAGTAACTCCCAATAAGTTATTTTTACGTAAATTTTTTGTTCTAATTGAAATATTTTAAATTTAAGAAATAAAATATAATGATATTCATGTCGATGACGAATTTTAATTAATATGTAATATGTTAAAAATAAGAATATAGTAATTTTTTGGAAAATTGGTGTACCTTTAGTAGTTAATAATGATTTGATATTTATTAATAATAAATTAAACAGGTTTAATTCAAGGTAATTATTTTTTAAATCATAATATTAGTAAACATGAAAAATTAATGTTTTGCATCTGTAAAAAGTAGGATAGCTAGGTTCCTACTTTTTTAGTATTTTATCTTTTGTTGGAAATATTTGAATTTTACAATTTTAATTACATCTTGTTATATCTAAATATCTTATTCTAAAACTTCCAATTAAACATTAATTTTAAAAATACAGGTCCATTTATTATTAGTTTTTAATTGTTCTTAAACAATGAATTTTAACCTTAATTTCTAAATATTCACTCTATTGTATTAAATTACATAATCAAAACTGTTTATTATTTGATATAATTTTAATACATTTTATTTATGACTATTGAGGTATAAGAAAAGAAATGTTGTATTAATAGATTGTTTTACTAATATTTTACGTGTTAAAATGAACGCTCCAAAGTAGGTCTATAAGAGTCTCTGAGGTGTATATTATCATATTTCAATCAGAACAATATCTTGGCTATGTATGCTACATGTACACAGTTGTTTATTTGAAGAACTTATTGCCATAACAAGATAACTGGTATAAAAATTTACTATTTAACTAACTATTATACATATAAAACAGAAATATATAAATATAACTATATAACTGAAATTAATTTATGTACATATGGAAAAATCAGATTTGTTTGATTATTTGCTATTGAGTTATGTTAAAAAAGACTAATCATTTTTGCTATATTTAGGTAAAGAATATTTTTTTTTATTTCTCTTAAAAATTAGTTAAATTCAGATAAATCAGATTGTTCCAGTAAGCCTTTCAAGTTTTAACACTGATAGATATTCATAATATGTAGTTTAAATATATGTATTAAATTTGACTTGGTAACCAAATTTCTATTTCAGAGAACAATATTTTAGGCTTTGTTATGCAATACTATAAATTTAGCCAATTTTTTTGATTTTTGATTTTTTAAATATAGACATTCTATAAATAAATACTATTTTTTCAGGAAGAAACTGATTTTATTTTATCATTTTTATATGTTGTGAGCAGATGATTTATTTCATTTTCATTAAATATTTTGACCATGGATAAAAATATAGAAGAAAAATTTGAACACTCAGTGAATAATAGTAAGAATTACTCAATTATATTTATATATATATATATATGTGTGTGTATACTATTATATAATACTATATGTAGTAGCTCATAAATATTATGGTTCCTTAAATTTGTTATCAAAATTATTCAAATCTTCACTAATAAATACAAAATAAATTCACTGCAGCTATAAATTTGATAAACTGTTCCTAGAATCAACAAAAATAACTGAAACTTAAAAAAATAGTTATAAATTTCAAATAAAAATTTGTTTTATTTAAGTTTTTCAACATATGTTTTTACAATAATTTGGACATAATTAATTCAATAAAAATAAAAAAAAATTATATATATATATATATATTTTTTCTATTGTAAAATTACTTTCTTTAAAATACCATTCTAGGTATTTGCTGTGAAATAATTTACTGATTTAATACATTCAATATTCTAAGTAAATTTTAGAAAGGTTGCATTTATAAAAAAATACGCATTAAAACTCTTTAGAGTGTTATAGCTTATAGTTTTTATAATTCTACCCTCAGTTACTGACTATTTGATTTTATTCAATCAAATGAAAACCAAATAATCAGATTCACTAGAAATTTACACTAAAATTAATATTAATTAATTTTAGTTATAATGACATTATTAAAATTTATCCATAATAATTTATAATTAGTCAACACAAATCTTATTTAAAATTTCAAATCCCATATTTTTTACTTCTAAAACTATACAAAAAAATTAATTTTTTTTGAATTTCTTTTGTTTATTAATATTAAAATTGTTATGGTTACTTTATGTTTTTGGGATAAACTATTTGATTATATGCCCACATATTGGGGTTTAGTAGTGTGCTAAGTACCTTGAAGTTATAAATTAGCACTTCTTGTTACTTTGCATTTATGTTAGACTCACAAAAAATGTTAGTCTATTTGGTTAGCAATTATAATGATTTTAGCACCTTTGAGATTCAAATTGAATTTTGTGCCAATAAGTATGTCTTGATTATTAATGAGCTAATTAACAAACAAGGTAATAAATGATAGATTATTTTAATACTTTTAATGGGTTTGTAGTAATATTGGATTCTTACTATCATGTTGAAATACAAGTCTTCAATTTTAAAGTGAATTATAATTTTACTTTAATAAAATTAAATTTGAAACATTATTTAAGAGCTAACTTTTTAATACTAATACAATTGAAAATTTATTTGGTATGTTATAATAATTTCTCATTACCTTTTATTAAAATTGTTTTTATTATTATTATAGGTTTGGATGATTATTTAAATGGTCCTAGCAACAATGGGTATAATCATTCGCGGGATACTACATTATCTGATACATTAGATTTAGGGCCTTTACCTCCAAAATGGGAAAAAGCTTACACTAAAAATGGAGAAGTTTATTTTATAGAGTATGTAGAAGTATTAATTATGAAATATTTAATTTTATAAATAATTTACAGGAGTAATTATACAGGGCGATTCCTTAAATACTTCTTACAAAACTTTTAAAAAATATTTGAAATAATTATTATAATAAATTATACAACAATATTATAAATTTCATTTTTTGTGAAGGTGCTTCACATGATAAATAAATTTTGTGCTACTTTCCCTTATACCCTAATTTTGTATCAACTTTTGATTTTCTAACAAAAACTCCAATGTTTTTTATATAATAAAATTAATTAAATTGAAAAATAAAAATTGTATGTTATTCGATTTTCAACGAGTTATAGATGTTTAAAGCTGTTTTAACCCAATATTTATAGGGTCATAAATTGAATACTGCAACCAGATCATAACATGATAGGGTATATAGTTTTAATTTCATTTAATTAATTAGCCACAAGTAATCAATTTTTATTATATATAGTTTATTGTATTTCTGTGAACTGATAGCTTTATCAATATATATGATAAAATCATCTAAAAATAAGTAAGCTTTTTTTTTTAATTGCCTTAAACATGTAACATTTGTAACTAATAAAATAAAATTATTGAGATTGCCATTTGCAAAAAAAAAGTTGATAGTAGTTTAAAATATAAGGGATGGTAGAAGAAAATTCATTTTTTAGGTAAAACAGCTCAACAATGAATTATAATTGTTAAAAAAATAAAACTATGAATAATCAGGTTTTAGTAAATATTTTTGTATTTTAGCTTTGATGCAAAGCTGAGAAGGTATTGGTTTTACTATAATGTGTTTTTTTTTTTTTTTTTTTTTTTTTTTTTTTTTTTTGG